TCTCCTAACTCTGCCAGACCTGGCCTTAGTGTTTGATCCATTCCCTCCTCTCCCAACCATGTGAGTGGCCTTTTTCTCTTTATGGGTTTGACAACAGCAAAATGACCCAACCACTTGTTGCTTGGCCAAATGTACTCTTATCACATTTATGATAAATCTGGATGCTTCTTATATACAGCCAAGATTCTTACAAGGGATGTTCAGGTATGTTCCTTTTCAGGGCAAACACTCTGTCCCCAGGGATGTTAGACAATTTCAGCAGCCCCATATAAACATCAGCTAAAGGTGAGGCTTCCATGGTGGCTCAACAGATTCCCTGATCACTTCCTATCCTGTCATTGCTGCCAAGTTGCAGTGGGTTTGCATCAAAGCTCTCAGAGCACAGCCACAAAGGGCAAAGCAAAGCTGGAGCTCTACTCTGGACCTAGAGGTTCTGACCCAGCCAGCTCTAGGCAGTTAGTTTCTTTGTGAGGATCAGTTTTACACTTAAGGTGGAAATGGAAGACTGCCACATAAAGTGGCATCAGGCTAATTATTCCAAACGTGTGGTTCAGTTGTGATTCCAGTGACTAGCAAATGAAGAGGGAATAGAAACATCAGCTCTTTGCTAGGCTCAAGGAGTAGGGAAATTCTGGGATTGGCAGAAAGCATGTGCTGGTTGGGGGTGCCATTATAAACGGACAAGAGTGGTCTTTGGGAGGTAAAAATACACATCAGCTAACAAACAGGGATTCTGGGGGGAAAGACAAGCATTTTTCTGTTATCTTCTGCTGAGATATCTCCCAATGAACATTGTTCCCCTTTTAATTTTCATTGTACCTCAATGATACTTCTTCGTTAATGTTACCATCAAAATTCCAAGCTTCTTTCTCCTTATTTCTTTTATTTTGATCTATGCTCTTTCCTTCCCATGTTCAATCCCTCATCCCTTCTTAAGCCTCCCTGGGAATTCACCACCATGTATTGAATGTAAACCTTTCCACTTCACTCCTTATCTTTCAGCTGGAGTGGATTAGCATCTCCATGTAAACATGTCAAAAGTAGAATTATTAATGCACACACACACACACACACACACACACATACACTACTATTTGCACACACAGCAGCTCCTTCCTCAAACTTTCCTCTACCAGTTAACGGAGAATTTATCCCTCCAGTTGCTCAACTCAAAAGCCCTATTTTTCATCGAGTCCAATTTTTCTCTCATTTATGGAACACCTGATCCATAAGCAAATTCCATAGGCTTGCCCTTCAAAATAAATGCAGAATCCAACCATTTCTAACACCTCCACCATTACTGCTGAAGGCCAGGGCTCTGACCTCTGTGGATCCTGGGATAGACTCTTAGCCAAGTCTTCCCTTCTACATCTCCTCTGTACCCCCCAGAGTTTGTAGCCCATGCAGCTTCCAGAGTGATCTTTAAACATATAAGTCAGGGGATATTACTCTCTTGCCTCAAATCCTCCATTTAAAATAAACTTCACATTTATAATAAAATCCAGACTCTTTACTAGGGCCTACAAAGTACTTAGAGTTAATGGCACATGCAGATACTCCTCAAGGTATGTTTCTTTCCTGTCCAAATTCTCTGTCCCTAGAGATAGATGTCAGGCAATTTTGACAACACCATTCTCTGCCATCTCTTGCTTTTCATAGCTTCTTAACTTCTGCAGATTCTGCGAGGAAAAGAGGATCAGCGAATTCCCTCCCACAATGATTTATTCTCCACCGATGAATATGTTGGTGCCAGTCAACGTGTCCCGCTTTCGGATGATTTCAGAAATGACAGTGATCTGAGAAGGCCATCATGATTTTTCTTTTCTCTTCTTTTAACTTTCTGATACTACTTTTACAATTATACTTCTGAAGTTTACTCTTTCCCAACCCCCCAGGGTCACCTGGAATTTAAGCAGTGATTTTAGAGTCTCCGTGTATATTTTACACTAAGTTAGAAATCGCGTTCGTGATTATTCCACCAACACCATCAACTTTTACATAAACATTTGTTTTTCTGTGAATTACAAAATTATTGTCACCTATAGTCTTCCCTTCTTTGACCATCTTCTCCAAAATAGCACGCAGTACTGAAGGCATCTGTTCCTATTCAGGTTCCTAAACGGAAAGATGTTTTCTCAGGCCCCATGCAAAGCACTTCTCTCATATCAGTTAGGGGACGTCTAGCTGTGATGTCCTTCATCAGCAGGGTAAAGTTCTGCACATAGCAATGCGGGTCCTGAGAGCCGGGACCCGCAGGGGCTGGCCGCTCCTGAAGGTTGGCAGAGTTTACATACGTACACACCAGCCTCTCCACGAAGGTGGCTCGTTTGCCGGAGAGGCCAAGCTCCTCTAGACCTCAGCGCGGGAGCAGCGGCTGCAGCCCGCTTTGAGCTGTTTCCTCTGCTGGAGGCTGGTGAAGCGAGCCCAGCCAACGCCCGCAGCAGGTTCTTGCCCCAGGCCTCTGCAGGGTCTCCGGGGCGCTCTGTCATGGTCACCGGGTCCTGCCTGGCTGATTATCCCTCCGCCGCCGCTCATCCTGCAGAGGCAGAAAGGCAGCTACGGCCCCGCCGAAACACCAAGGCGGGCTGTTGGCCCCGCTGCTCCGGACGCCCGCCGCGCGGTTCCCGCCCGCCGCGCTCACTGAGTCATCGGAGCCCAGAAACGCGCGAACCCGCCTGGCAGCTCCCGCGCCCGCCCAGCGCCCGGTAGGCTCCTCCCCCAGCCCCCTGGGACTGGACTCCGCTGGGCGGGAAAGCAATGGCGGGAAGTGATTTCTCAGTTTATCCCAGGACACGAAAGCTGGCCGCGGCCCGAGAGTACCGGGAGTGGCTCGCTAGTAAGACCCGGACCGGGCCATCAGGATAAATAGGGCGGGCGGGCGCGCAGCCCCTCACCCACACCCCGAGCCCGCCCTTTTGACCCACTGGCGGGCGCGTGGGGGGCACACTCGTCCTTTCCCGCCGCTCTGCTCAGTGGCCGGAGCGCCAATCGGCTTGCAAAGTGGATGAGTCACCGTCCCGGACGTCCGCGTCCATTGGCCAGAGGCAGGGGCGCCACTCCCAGGCCAGTTCCCTGAAAGCCGGCGGGCGCCAGCAGGCGGGAAAAGTTCCCAGGGACAGTGAGGTGAGCGCGGTCGCCACAGCAGTTGCGAATCTTCGTGCAGCGGTCGCGGGCACGATCCGGACAGACTCTCTGCTTCTGTGAGTGGGTCTTCTGGGCCCGGGTGGGTCACAGAGTTCTTAGGGGGACGGTTGGCAGCGGCACCAGGCAGAACGACCTCAGCCAGGAGTCAAGGAGGTTTGGGGTGGGGATTTATTCAGCTACCCATTGTGGGAACCCCCTTCCCGCTCCCCAGTTTCAAATGTCGAAAGTTTTACTCCTGAAAAGACACTTGGACATCGTCTAGGCAGCTGTTCAAAACAATGTCGTGCTCATTTAAGGTTGGGAGGGGGCGAGGGGGACAGGAGGATAAAAGTGCAAATTCCATAACCGCACCCCCCACGTACTGAATCAGAATCTTTGAGGGTGGGATCTGGAATCTTCCTTTTTAAAAAGCTCAGAAGGGATAATTCACAGGAACAATACAAGTGTGATCTGAGCCAAACTCCTTTATCTACAAATGGGGAAACTGAGATCCCTAAGAGGGGTGAAGGAAGAGGGTTCCAGGGAAGTTAACCCCTCTAATCATTTTGGGGAGGTTCTTTCCTGGCCTTGGGAAGTTTCCTCAGTTGCTGCTCTGATCAGTACACAGCTGAATATCTTAAACCCCTCTTCATATATCCAGAGATCTCTCTCTGTGCAGGACTCTCTCCCAGTCTGTGACCTGTGAACTCTTGCCACTTTGGACTCTCACCTTTGTCTCCTCAGATCTGGAATTCTGAACGTCTTTGCCTTGCTGCCCTTGTTACACCCTGGCCTGGAATTTTCAAGGTGGTCAGCTGGATTGCATCATAGGATGCACTTCATTTGTCTCTGTCCTTAATTGCATGATACAGTTCCTTGCAAGCCTTTGTTTCATATATTGCCCATTTTGTTTTGTTTTCAGACTAGGGGGTGAATCCAGTGCCTGTTAATCCATTTTGGCCAGAAATCTAAGGTACATACTGTTTTAATGTTCCTGACTATTCTATCATCTGTGTCACTTCTAGAACTGTTTCTATTCACCAATTTCTCTCTTCATTGTAGGTCATATGTTCCTGCTTCTCTTTATGCCTGGTAATTTTTGATTGGATATCAAGCTTTGTTAATTTCACATTTTTGAGTGCTAGAAATTTTTACATTCCTATTGATAGATAGTCTTGTGCTTTGTTCTAGTACACAGTTATATTACTCAGAAACTGTTTTATACTTTCAAAGCTTGCTTTTAAATTTCATTAGGTAGAACCAGAGCAGCTTTTGGTCTCGGGCTCATTTTGTACGGCGATGGAGGCAATACCATTCTGAGTCCTCTGCCTGACACTGCACAGAGTGTGAAGTTTTCTAGTCTGACTTTTGGGACCCAAAACTATTCCCAAACCTATAGGAGCCTCTGCTCCTTTAGGGTGGTTCTTTTCCTGGCTTCCAGCAGTTTCATCACAGCTGTGCATTGACCACTATTTAGCTGAAATCTCAAGGGATTTCTGACACACTCTGTCTGTGTAGCTGTAGCTCTCTTCTCTCTAGTACTCTGCCTTACAAGCTCCAGCCATCTTGGCCTTTGATGACTCTCAGCTTGTCTTCTCAACTCAGGGAAACTGCCAGGCTCTGCCTGTTTTCCCTCCTTAGGATATGCCCTGGAAACTCCACGCAGTAAGTCATAGGTCTTACCTCATTTGATTTCCTTCTCAGGGATCAGAGATCACCCTCCTGTGCTACCTGATGTCCAGTGTTAGAGAATTTCTGTTTCATATATCTTGTCTTTTTTGTTTTTTAGCCATTTCAGGTAAAGGACAGTAAATTCAATCCCTGTTTCTCCATCTTGTCCACTAGTAGAAGTTAGTTATATTCTCTTTCAACTCATCATGAATTCCATGAAGCTTAAAGAGGACGAGACATTCAGAGCTACAGAAAATGACCAGGGTGCCAGACCTAAAGTTTTAAAGGTATGTACTTTTTTACAGCTCCTCCCTGGAGCAGCATCTGACCACAGCACCATATTAGGTTCTTGGAAGGGATTAGTTCCTAAAGAACGGGAGTTATAATGCCTTCTGTTGTGTTGTTTAAAATATATTGGAGGAGATCACACATATAAATGCTTGTAAAAAACAAAATGGTGGTGTATAAATTAAAAATGCTAAAAATGTCTTAAGACAGTAAGGTGACTAGCAAACAATATAGACACTTAAAATCATGGGAAGTATAGACAGGCAAAAATAATCATGTAGCTAATATTTACTGAGAAAACTATGTAAGCTGGAGTTATGTATGCTACTTCACATGGATTATCTCATTTAACACTTACTAAAACTCTATCAATGAATATTATTATCATCCTTGTTTTACAAATGGAGACAATGAAGCCCAACTTGCTTAAAGTTGCAAAAGTAATGGACTTCAGAGCAAAGACTTGAACCCAGGTATCAGATTTCAGAGACTAGTTTTTGACCTATACTATTTTACTCAAAATATGCAAAATGATAACCCTAAATTGAGATATAAACAAATGCTTGTAGAGTACAGAGTGAAGAATGCTTAATTCAGACTCAAGAAATTAAAGCAGTGTCATATGAGAAAGATCTCAAAGAATGAATCGTGAATACAAAATAGTTAAACTCGTAGAAGTAGAGATGGTTGCCAGGGGATTGCGGGGAGGGTATTAGTCAATGGGTGCAAAGTTTAGGTTGTACGAGATGGACAAGTTATAGAGATGTGCTGTACAGCATCATGCTTATAGTTAACAATATTGTATTGTGTATTCAGACATCTGCTCAGACAATAGATCTATGTTAAGTGTTCTTATCACAAAAATAATAAATAAGAGGGCAGTAGGAAACTATTGGAGGTGATGGATAGGTTTATGGCAAAGATTGTGGTGATGACTTCATGGATATATACCTATCTTCAAACTCATCAAGTTGTATACACTAATTTTGTATAGGTTTTTGTATGTCATAAATTAATTATTTTTTTGAAAAAGACTGAATAATATTTCACCAGGTAATTGGTTCAAGGATAAGACAATGACCTGAGGATAGTCATGTACACATGAGAACATATTTAGGGAACAGTATAGCTGGATTTGATGTTATATAAAGAAAATATAAGAATGTGGTAGGCAAATAGTGCTTTCTATACTGATAAGGCAGTATGGTACAAGATCACAGTAGGTTTTATACCAGTAAGAGGTTTTTATATTGCCAGTAAAAGTATTTTCTAATTGTAAAATAATAAAATGGATTCGCTGGTTCCCATGAGTGGCCAGTCTGGAGTTTAGCTGGGCTCCAGTACAGCAGTACACAATTTCTTCAAGGACCTGCTTGTGTGTCCGTTCGGTCTCTAGGCTGTGCTTTTCATATTATCCTCTTGCTGCTTTCTGCATAATGACAGCAGAGCTGCAGTAATTTGAGATGCTTCACTACCCAGATGATGAATCTATCCTGGTACCCTGAGAAAACCTCTGCTTGCCATATAATTGTCCCAAGCTAAGTAGCTCACACATTCCTGCACAAAACCTTGTGACTAAGGGGGCACTTACAGATATTCCTGAGCTGGAATTAATTCATTCAGTGGGTACCCCTTTTACTGGGAGGTGGGGGAGGAGTCTGGGAGAAGAAGAAGACCAGGTGGGTGAAGGCAAGGCAATGGGGAGGATGGGGGAGGGAAGAGGCAGCGGGGCTAGTGCACTGCTCTCTCCAAGGTCACAGACAAGGCGAGAACTGGAGGAGGTCAGCAGGTGACAGGCAGGGTTAGTCATCCTTACACCAAACAGCTTTAAAACTGCCCAGCGAACTGGGAGGTGGCTGCTCCTAGCAGTCTCCCTGTTATAACCTCTGGGTCCTTGGAGTGTCTCTGCCCTACCATGACCTTTAGACCAGGAGCCCTTGGCCCCATTCACCCTTCAACTCCTCAAGGAGAAACCTCCAGCACTGGGTTCTCCCCCGCCCCCCACACTAAAGCTCTGCACAGGTGGAGTCATCCCCGGGATCTAAGGTTTCCTGGGGTCAGGGACCCCCTCCCCCAGAAAATGGATGGTCAAGATCATAACTTATTGAGACTCATATATGCTGGACAGGACAGTCTGTTGTGTACTTTATACACATTGCCTCATGGGATCTCCCCAACACCAGGAGTAAATGTTTGCACAAAAACAAAATTTAATTTTTGTATGACGAAACAAAAGGGTGAAGTCTAATAATTTTCTCAACTCTCTCAATGAGGGTCTTTTTAATATTTAGTAAAATGTAGATGGAGTGATAGAAAATCGTGACTGCCTGTGTCACAGTGACTCACTTGGCAGATGTAAACTTGAAAAGAGATCAAAGTCCTGTACATTTTTCTACTCTGAGCCAACATTGTGTCAAAAGCAGGAAAAAAAGCCAGGAGGGTGTCTGGGCCGGGCAGCTGTAGGGACTCCCTGTACATTCCCCTCCCAGCCTTGCATTCCCATCCCAGCCAGGGCATCTAGTCTCAGGCACAAGGTCCTGCCAAGGTCACCAGAATTGTTGTGGAACCCCAAATTCAGGCTCATGTACCCCATGTGCAGCCAAAGCTAAACACTGTGACACTGGGGCTTGGAGAGAGAGAAAGGTTTATTTCATTTGGCCAAAGCGAGATGACTGAGAGCAAAATCCCACAGATCCACCTTAACAAAGGGTGAAGTATGGAGTCTCATGTGGCTGGAGAGGGGGAGGGAGTGCACTAGGTAGCAAGGGAAGGGGGAGTTTCAGGGAACTGAAGGGGGAAGTCTGTGTTGCTTTTAGTCTCAACACCTTAAATTACCAGATTTCTGGGCATCCGCAGCTAGTTGCAGCTTCTCAAGGGCAGTCATTGCCTCTGCAAAACAAACTTATGGATTTTCGTTCTGCTTGACAAAGAAACTACACAGCAGTTAATGTTTACTGTGAGAACAGGGGGCGCTGGGCAGGAATCAAGTGATTAACATGTGTGAGCAAACAAGGGCCTAGCCAAATTTTATATTATTTCAGTCATTAAAAAACGCCAGGGTGGCCGGGCGCGGTGGCTCACGCCTGTAATCCTAGCTCTCTGGGAGGCCGAAACGGGCGGATTGTTTGAGCTCAGGAGTTCGAAACCAGCCTGAGCAAGAGCGAGACCCTGTCTCTACTAAAATTAGAAAGAAATTAATTGGACAACTAAAAATATATAGAAGAAAATTAGCCGGGCATGGTGACGCATGCCTATAGTCCCAGCTACTCGGAAGGCTGAGGCAGGAGGATCGCTTGAGCCCAGGAGTTTGAGGTTGCCGTGAGCTAGGCTGACGCCACGGCACTCTAGCCCGGGCAACACAGTGAGATTCTGTCTCAAAAAAAAAAAAAAAAAAAACGCCAGGGTACGAAAATCTCATGCAGCCCAGCTACAATTCCATTGCACCTGCTTCCTAAACGAACCAAGCACAGCTGTTTCTCCTGATTTTACCCTCTCCAGACTTACCGTCTATGCATGCAAACTGGATCCAACACTTCAGATTTCACAATGATTCCCATCTAAGTCATGTTGGTTCCTGTGGTGTAATATTTTTCACTTTTATCCCTGCTTTTCATTTCCGTTTTCGTCACATTCTCAATATCTTGTTCCCCAGGCTATTACCAACTGATTATTTATGTTTATAACTGTTTGTATTTATTTGTGTGTGTATATATATCTAATCCTGTGATTTATCAATCATTTTAGTATATTTCCTTAGTCTGTTGAAACCATGTACAGAATAAAAACAAAATAGGTGTTTAACAGGAATTTTTGAGAGGTCATGTTTCAAATATCCACAAGGCATATTAAATAAGTCCAGCTTCACTAGTAAGTAAATAAATGCAAATTTGAGAAACAGTCAAATTAGATGACATTTCATCTATCAATTGACAAGCACTTAAAATAATGATATGGAAATCCTTTTGAGGAATCAACCATATTATTGGGCTCCTTAAGGAAAAGGAGAAAAGGGACAGGGTGAGTTGATACAACTTTTCTGGACAGCAGTTAGGCAGTATATATATTGTGAAATATGTTTATATCCTTAGCCACAATATTTCCACTGCTGGGAATATGACCTAGAGAAATATTCAGATGTACAGACAAAAATGTTATATGTACAGTAATATTTGTCTTATATACAGCAGTAAAAACCTGGAAACAATCTAAATATCTAGCAATAAAAGAATGGATTAAAAGTATTATACAATGAAATGTTATATAGCCCCTTAGATTGTGATTTCAAATGTTGCTCAATGACACATAAAAGCACGGGCAGATTGCATAGTGAAAAATAAACTCATATGCAGCATAGTATTTGAGAAACCATATTTTATCTGCATATAAAATAACAGAGACAAATAAAACATATTACAAGAGTGATTATCTCTAGTGTTAGAATAGTAATTGATTTACTTCTCCATTATTCAGTCACCATTATTTTATCCAATTTTTTTTTCTTTTTTTTATTTCAGCATATTATGGGGGTACAGATGTTTAGGTTACGTATGTTGCCCTTGTTACCCCCTCCCGCCCCAAGTCCGAGTTTCAAGTATGTCCATTCTTCGGATGGTGCGCATTGCACTCTTTGTGTATGCATATACCCGTCTCCTCTCCCCTCCCTCCTCCCCCTGCCCGACATCCAATATATGTTATTCTTATATGTACACTTATGTGTTGATCAGTTAATACCAATTTGATGGTGAGTATATGTGGTGCTTGTCTTTCCATTCTTGGAATACTTCACTTAGTAGACCCGCACTCCTGAGCAGGTCTCGCTCCCCTCCACCCTCTCCCTCTCCGTGGCCTCTCCCAGGCCTCTGCCAGCAATCCGGACCTCAGGCCAATGGATCTCCCCTGGCTGTGACGTGGGCCGGGAGCTTCCCTACCCAGGATCACAGCCTGAGCTGGGTGCACAGCCCTCTTTTGGAAGGAGGGTTGCTGCTCAGGCATGCTGATCTGCCCTTGAAGGCACACACTCCTCAGTAGGCTCTTTCACATATCTCTCTTCTGTGCCCCAGGGCAGTTCGATCGTGACCTGGGTGTATGGGGTCTGGTCTGCAGGCCTGTCCCCTGGGCCCTGGGGTTCAATCCCTGACCCTACCAGGGGGAGTGGTGCTGGTCTCGAATCACCTACAGGGTGCCCAAGCTGGATCTATTTCACTCCACCTCGGAATTTGCCCCGCTCTCCTGGAGTCTGCAGGCAAGCAGCACCTGGGAGGGCTGGCGGGTAGGGAGCTCGCAGTCTGAGTATCCCTCAGTCTGCTGTAGGGCCCCAAAAGGAAAGGTCCCATTCCTTGGAGATGCCTCTGTGTGATGGCTAAATTGTCTCTCTGGGCACCCACGGGTAGGGAAGGGGAAAGAGAGAATGGAGCAATATGGCGTCTGCCAGTAGGCTCAGGTCTGTACCCGGGGAGGTGCCCCGAGGGAGCTGGGAGCCCATCACTGTGTCTGCAAGAGGCCACTGCTTACTGGCGGCAGCCGTCTCTGGGCTGGTGTCAGCAGGTCTCTCCAACGGCTCAGGAGCCCACCAACAGTCCGAGATGCAAGGGAGGGGAAAGTTATCTGCTCCACCTACCCTTGTCGCTGGTCTCCAAGCCTCTCGGGACATTTCTCCTTCCAGTTCTCCTCCGCAATGTCTTCCTGTGGAGTCTCCTGTACTTTCAGGCACCCTTCCTTCCGACCCTCACCCGATCTGTGTTTCTCTGCTAGTTTATTTTTTTTCTGTTTCTTCTAAAATTTGTCTTTTTTGCAGAGACACTCTGACTGGCGGCTTTTCTCGTCCGCCATCTTCTATTTTATCCAATTTTTATCAGAATATCTATTAGTTCTATCATTAGAAAAACATGAAACATTATGAAAGGTCATTCTAGGTAATATTTAATCTTTTCTTTTTTAAGGATACTGTCCTGAAGCAGACATGTGCTGACACACCTGTTGATCATTGTTTATCTGATGCAAGAGAGTGTAACGACACCTCTAAGCTTAAAAGTGAAGTCAACAAGCATGGAACAGCCCTTAAAATTCAGAATCCAAATTTGAACACCAATAAAGAATGTCGTTTCACCTTTATTTTAAACGAAAACTTCAGAAAATTCGACCGTAGAGTGTTTACAGCATATGGTGAACCCAATGAGAACATCTTCTCAGCTCTGGAGGCTAACGACCACTTCAGTGAAAGGATGAAGAAGCATTTAAATGAGGATATTATTGTTTATGAAGAAAAAGAAATAGAAGGATATATAAATTTAGGAATGCCTCTCAAGTGCCTGCCTAGAGATTCTCATTTTAGTATAACCTTTGGTGGAAGAAAGAGTAACCAGAAAGAAGATGGTCAGATATTGCGTCGATGTGAAAATCCAAACATCGAATGCATTCTTTTTCATGTCGTTGCTATCGGCAAGACAATAAAGAAGCTTGTTAAGATCACGAAACTTCATGGAAAAGCAAGTACACTTTGTGTCTATGCCTTGAAGGGTGAGACTGTCACAGAAGCTTTATGCAAGGATGGCCGCTTTCGGTCTGATTTAGATGAATTGACATGGGACCTAATGGAAGGCAATAAGAAAATTTTTGGAAAAGGATCCATGGTGGATGAAGTATCTGGAAAAACCTTAGAAATGGACATTCCTAGAAAAACAAGTGGCAAGAAAGGTACAAAAATTAAGAAGAATGAAAATACCAGTGATGAAATCAATCCCTGTGGTCTGACGCAGTCTAAGAAAAGGGTCCATGAACCAGAGATAGATGGAGTGACTGAAGATGTAGAACACAGCAGAAAAAAAAATCATCCACCTCAAAGTCTAGGGCATGATATTGAAGGTAAAACTCACCGGACAATTTCCAGGATTAGATGTTATTATGTTAAAAGTTCTGTCAGAAACTTGCAAGTTAGGCGAAGGCCCCATCTCGGTAGACAATATGTTACCCATCTGAATACCCAAAAGGAAGCAACTCATCTTTTAAAGAATCTACAAATACTAAACGAAGACATAATGCATCAATATCCAAATTTTAAGGAAGAAACACTTTCGATGAGAAGGTATTTCCAGGAAGAACGGAAGAGAACAAATCTGCCAATGTTTGAGCAATTCCACATATATAAAAAGTACTTTGGAAAAGTGACTATGGATTCTATTCTAGTTGCAACCTCTGAAAAACTTGATTATCATAGTAAGTCAGTTGGGTTCATGAAATGGGACAATAATGGAAATACAGGCAATGCTACTTGCTTTGTCTTCAATCATGGTTATATTTTCACCTGTCGACATGTTTTAAACCTTATAGTGGGTGAAGGCACAGATCCACGTTCGTGGCCAGATAAAATTAGTAAATGTGCCAAGGTAACCTTCACTTACAAAGGGTTCTATCCTACTAGTGATGACTGGTTTTCCATTGAGCCGTGGTTTGAAGTGTCTGATGAAACTCTAGATTATGCCATTTTTAAACTAAAGGAAAACGGAAATGCATTTCCTCCAGGCCTGTTTAGCCAAATTTCCCGTCAACCATCTATTGGTGTAGTTTATATAATTGGTCATCCAGAAGGCCAGGCCAAGAAAAGGGATTGCTGTGCTGTGGTTTCTCTAAATGAACGGTTAGAAAGGTTTCAAGACTATCTTTATGGTAGGATGGTAGAACCCCAAGCTGCCACTGGTAATGTTTGCCCTATGTTTACCAAAAGAAGTTTCCCATCTGAGGCTCAGGACACGAACATGCTTAGTTATGATACTTGTTTCGTTGAGGGGTCCTCTGGCTCCCCAGTGTTTGATGCATCTGGCAAATTGGTTGCTATGCATGCCTTTGGGAAGTTTTATAGATGTGGAAATAAGAATTGTGCCCTTGTAGAATTTGGCTACTCTATGGATTCAATTCTTTGCAATATTAAAGAGAAAAATGAGAGCTTATACATATTATTAAATGAAGAGAAAAATAAGAACTGCAATGAAGAAAAAAATAATGAACAAGATTCACCACTTCAAGATCATCAGATTGAACCCATGGAATACTAGTAAAAAAAAAGATGTTGTCTTCAATAAAATAGGCCAATAATTTAGAGTGTTGAGGGCTGTTTCCTTTAAGTATAATGAAAATTCTTTCTTAATTAGAAAACTTTTAGAGAATTATATGGATGTTCAAAACACATATTAGAGCTCCAATAAATACTGATTTTTTCTCCCAATTGTTTTTTCTTTTTATTGGAAACAATTTCAGTCCTCAACTAAAATGCTTAGCTCACTTATACACTTACAAAGAATTTGGTATTTACCATTCTAAATGTCTAGGATGATACATCTTTGTTACTGGCATGGTGGTTCTTGTTTTCTGCCCAACAGATAATGGGGAAATACACCTTTAAACTTAAGGAAAATAACACGTGTTGCTCCTGAAAAATCCAAAATTCTTTGGTAATCTTCATTTCTTCTCTTCCATGCCACCTGTGACATCAGCCTCTCTTGCAAATGACAGTAGAAATTGCACTTCTTTCCTCTACTACAGCAAGAACTGTTAACCCTTCTCTGGCAGCTATGAAGAGAGGCCTGCTTCCTCTCCATCCCCACTCTCATGCTCAGAGTCTGGAAAGCTAAAAGTTAAATATCTCAGACTAATTTGCACTAAGATTCTGAATGTAAATCAGGTTCCTCCAAATAGATGTTATTTGGAAGGTGGAAGTAAAATGGAAGCATTTTTCTGCTGTGTCATCTTTTGGCAAACTAGGTCATGGAAAAGTGAGTGTCTAGAGACAGTAGTGTTGGCCACATTCAATGTGAGTGTTTAGCCATTAGCTTCATGGGTATCCAGAAGTAGCTGCAGCGGTACCAGTAGCAGCCAGAAGCAGTGTTGCAGCGTCTACTCTTTCACTCTGATGGTGTGGAGAGGAATTTGTGGTGGTAAATTTCTTAATTCAGCTTCCTGATTCCTGGATTACAGCGAAGAGGGTGTGTTCTTGGACTCAGTGATTCCAATGTTGCCTTCCTGAATTCCACTGCTCTTATCATCCTAGAGATTTCTAGCATATAATCCTTTGCATTAAATCTCTTTTACCTGCACTGAACCCTGAGTGATGTACTCTCCTTTGACAACTAGCAACTGGTTGGACTGTCCAAATATGTGATAGTCTCTTAGTTGTGCACAAACCATAAATCTGACTCAGAGAAATTATTCATTGAGAAATTCGAGATCCATACTATAATTATTTACCTAAAAGCACATCAAGGGCCCATAGTGCTTATTGAAGAGATGGACCTTCTTTCTTACTACCCAAGTAATAGGGCATTGAGGACCTACTCTCAGCATTAGATTCACTTTTTTCTCTACCATGTAGATTGACATTTCCTGTATTCAGACTTATTGAAACTAAAAGAAACAATTGCACAACCAAAGTTGAGGCATAACTTTAAGCAAAATTATATCTCTAGACATTATCATAAAATCACAGTTCCTCTTGTCAAATGCTGGAGCCCAGTATTCCTCCTTACCACATGCATTAAAGATTTCTAATCTAATCACCTGATCCCACTGCTGCAAATAAATCTCTGCTGCAAATTATTCACAGAAGCTTCTAATGTTGGGTAAATCAGATGCTCAAATATTCTTATAAATAGTATGCAAATAAAACCTGCCCCTCTTGGCCCTAATCCTAAAAGATATTTCCTCCATCCCTCTGAACCAAAGATGGGTCCCACCAGATGGGCCAGACACATGGTGGTTCCAAGTGCTAATATTAAGATTAATTCTCGACCTAAACTTTAGCTACAATTCATCACTGGGGTGTTGAAGAATCAGATGCCTAGACCCTAGGGTTATTTGACAGCAGACACATCTGAATTTGGGATCTCTATCTCAAGTGTCACCACCTCTGTGCCAGCATCCCTGGAGCCTTCTCTGTGCTACCTCTGCATCCTGTTCATTCCTGTCTTATAGGACATATAACTCTTCATTTGTCCTTCTTACCTACTAGATTGTAACTTAATGAATGGTGAGGACAATGTTACATTTATCTTGGTATCTTCAATGCTTAACATTATGTCTGGCACACACATAAAACTTCCCCCAAAAAGACTGAATAAAAACTACTTCAGGTTTATAGGTCTGAGACATAGATCAATGGAAGATGAGTGACAGCTATCCCATACTTGATTGGAACCACACACAACAGCTGACGGTGAGGCCCCAGGGGTGGGTCTCCTCCAGCACTTCGTTTCTCTCTTTGCTGCATGATCCTCACAGGCTGCATCCAGCTTCACCAAGGCAGCCAAGAAGAGGACATCAGAGGCTAGTCCGTGCCTTGCTGGTGACATGACATGAGGATCCACCCTCTTTGAACAGAATACAATGCTTTCTGCACGTTCTTGTTTGCCCGTTCTGTTGTTGTTTTTTGTGAGGATCTGTTATACAATTAAAACAAAACTCAAAGACAGCCACTCAGAATGATCTCTGGCTAACGATTCCAGTCAGTCCAGTCATGTGATTCAACTACTTCAATGACCAGCAAGGGAGGAGGCCGGTAGGTAAGTTAATTGCTGGGCTTTAATTAAGTAAATCAATTGCTGCAATGACTAAGCAAATTGCAGGGTGCTTTTGCTATTCTTTTTGCTATAAAAAGGCTAGGGAGAAAAACCGAAAGATAGGAAATTAAACTTCCTATTATGTAATATATTGGCCTACAAGAAAAAATATATAACAAATATATTTAAGGGTCCAACCTGCTGTCTCCTTTTCAAAGCCAGAAACACGTGGCTGTCCGGAAAGTATCCAGCCATTGTTAATATTAATACTATTTTTCATACTACATTGCGGGATACTTTCAGGACAGCCCTCGTACTTGGCAGCTAAATTAACAAAAGCTGACTCCTTAGCCCTGCCCCAAGAACCCCTCTGCGTTTTCACAATAATCCAGGATAACATTAGTAAGGCAGAGAAAGACCATTTGAGACCTTGTTAGCCCAAAAAGGTGAGGCCGCCCCATCAGGCTCAGCCAACCTCAGTTCTAGCTCCTTGAGAGACCAACAGCTGGATCTCAGAGGAGCACATGGAAGTGAACCCTCACCTCCCCAACTTTACACCTCGGCAAATCACTCCCTTCTCCCCAATACTGTCTGAGCAAGGGAAAAGCAGTTTCTAAAAGGGCTCAAGCTCCGCCCCAGAGAACTGCGGATTGGATAAACCATCTCCATTTCGCGCTACCATTGGGCAGGAGGTGTATCGATCCCTCCCCCGGCTCCGCCCTCCCCAAGCCGTTCCCGCAGGCTTATCCTCTAGCGCCATCTGCTGGCCGCACGCGGCACTCCAACCGTCGTGAAGAGACTTCCGTGCCGGGCGAGGTTCTTAGGGCGTTCGCTGGCGGCCCGGGGCCTGCCCTGCAAAGCGGCTGCCCACGCTGGTCTCATTTCAGGAGCTGAGAGTCCAGAAGCACCGCGGGCGCCCCGGGAGGATCAACGAGGGACAGGTCGGCCGGCGGGGCCTGGAGAAGAGCGGGGCAGGTTTCTGAGTCCTGTTGTACGAGGAAGGGCGGAGGCCACTCCAGATCACTCCACCCTGCTTGTCCTCGCTGTCCCGGAGCCCGGGCCTCAGGCTGCAACTAAGCGGGGGCGGTGGGTTTTGCCCTTCTGGAAGGAGACAGGCCCCAGCCTGCCAGCAGCCTCCTCCTTGGAGCCTATGGAGTTGGGCTAGGGCGGGCAGCGCCCTTCGGAGCCTTAGCGGAAGCTTCTTAGGTTCTCTGCCTTCCTGGTCTTGGGCGGAGCTGGAGTCTCTGTGATCTGACTCTTAGGAATCTTGATCTCGCAACACTTTGGATCTTAAGTTGAAATGAACATCATCTCTTCCTGCTGCTGGGAGAGTAATTTGCCAATATTTATCCAAAACCCAAACATCATGTGCAACCTTCTAGAGAAGTATACACCAAAACAGAGTAACATGGTACTAATAAGAGTAGTAACAATGACAAAGGCTACCTACCATTTATGGAGCATTCGCGACAGATACGTTTCGTGGATCATCACACAGACGACCTCATTAAGCCTTGCGCCACCTAATGAGGTAGTGCTGGTAGGGGCATGTTCTTTTCACAGTCATGAGGGAACCCCAAGAGGCAAACAGAAAGACCCGATGGTTTTCGGTGTCCTGCTCAGCACAGCGTTGGTCCTATCTGTTGACACATCCCACTGTCCAAAGCAAGTCACAAAGCCAAGTCTGGCACTGACAGCACGGGGAGGAACTGCAAAGGCACCCGGTAAAGGTGTATACAGGGAAGAGTGAAGATTAAAGAAAAATTTCCCACATCAGCTTCTCCTTCCATTTCTTCAAGAACTTTCAAAAACAGAAAACAAGTATAAATTTAATGTAGAATGTGTGTGCATTGTCATATATCTGATGGGCTATAAGGTGTGTCCTGGACAAGCACTATTCTTAGATACAATATTGCATTAAACTTCTCTGGTTCCATGAGTGTGAGAACCATATTCACTCATCTCTGTATCCCTGATATCCAGCACAATACCTGCCACAAAGTAGGAATTAACATGTGTTTTAAATGAATGACACCATGTTGGAAATGATTTTATTTGTGTGCCTTTTCTATCTTCCCTATTTGAGAACAGAACTCTTAACATTTTACCTTGGCAGAATGCAGCACTGGGTCTTGTAAATTGTCACTGCAGATGTATGCACTCAATAAATGATTGGGTGAATGGGGGAACGAAAGGATGTAGGAAGAGGTGAGCCACTGTGCCTTTTCGCAGTTAAATATTAGAGACAATTTGGCTTCTAGTTTTAAATGGGAGTACAAATCCTCATCAGAATGTTTCGTCGGCCGGGCGCGGTGGCTTACGTGTAATCCTAGCTCTCTGGGAGGCCGAGGTGGGCGGATTGTTTGAGCTCAGGAGTTCGAAACCAGCCTGAGCAAGAGCAAGACCCCGTCTCTACTAAAAATAGAAAGAAATTAATCGGACAACTAAAAATATATAGAAAAAATTAGCCGGGCATGGTGGCGCATGCCTGTGGTCCCAGCTAC